ATGATAATTTCATTGTCTTATCTTTATCAATTTCATAGCATTTCCATGAGTGTTAGTCATATTTCCTTAGATTTTTTTTAATGTATGAGTGTTATGCCTGTATGTAGGTAAGTGCACCCATGTTGTGCAATGCCCTCAGAGGACCGAAGAGGCTGTTGGATCCCCTGGAACTGGAGTTACATTACGGACAGTTGTTATCTGCCGTGTGGGTGCTGGGATTCAAACCTGGGTCTTCTCCAAGAACAGCCAATATTCTTAACTGCTGAGCCATCTCTCCAGCCCCTCCTTAGATTTATGAATTGACAGCTGAAAGTATATTGATTTGTGGTCATTTTTTCATCTTTCATTAAGAGTTTACGAAGAGCTAAGTGTAGCGGCACTTGCCTTTAATTTCGGCACTCAAGACACAGAGATAGGTGGATCTCTTTGAGTTTGAGGCCATCCTGGTCTACATGGTGAGACCCTGTACCAAAAATAATCTTATTCAAGCTATTTGTTAATGGGCTATAGAAATCCAGCTGTGTCCTTAAAACGTAGTAATTGCACTATCTTGTTATCTTACCTCCACATTCCCCTGGTTCTTTATAATACTGTAAATTTCCCTCTGATTTCTTAATGATATTCTTTTTGCAAAAGATATTCCTGAATGATAATATTTAAAGTACTCTGATTCAAATACAGTATTTTCAAATGCTTTTTGAAATCTTAAAGAGTTTGTCTTATCAAGTATATTATATATCCTTTTAATACTAATTTGAAAACACAATTTAATAATTTGGGGATACTTTGTATTTTATGTCTGACTTATTTTTATATAAAACTCATAAGAAGATCAATTTTCACAAATTTATTTTTAAGTATAAAAAATGGTGAATATGGACTGTATATTCATTGGAAGTGGTGGCTGTTGTTGCCCCACTATAGCCCCAATAAAGCATGCATTGAAAACGCATATATTGTCTAACTTTCCATATTGGGTAAAATATGAGAGAGTTCTCTATCTGTAATATATAATGATTTTAAAAGACAATAGTATTTCTCAAGCAGAAACGTGTTTGGCTCTCCCCTCCTCAATTTTCCCACATCTGAGTCACCACGATTCGTTTAAGCTGGTTCCCTTCTCACTTCCTTCCCAACCTTCCCACAAGAACTTACTCTCCAGTTTCCAGGAGCTCTAATCCTTGAACTGGTACAGGATGTCCTGCTACTGTTGACCACCCTCCCACATATGCCTCGCCTTCTAGACTAAGAAGCATGAAATAATTGCTGTGTGCTTTCTTCTTCCTTAAAGGGTTTGAGGAACACTGATAAATGTCTTCTCACTATTAATTCCCTAAATGATGAAAACTCTTCCCATTCCTACCTAAAAAAACTTGTGTTAAATGACTGTCTTCATCTCCTACCTCCTGCCCAAGACTTTTAGACAAATCAGATTTGTGTCCTAAAGAATCAGGAGGGAACAAAACACTGAAGTCAAAAAGCTAGTAATAGGTAAGAATCTTTAGAGTAAACAATTTTTTTTTTACCTTTTTGAAACAGGGTCTCCCTGTAGCTCCCAGCTGTCCTGGAACTCACTATGTAGACCAGGCTGGCCTTGAACTCACAGAGATACGCCTGCCTCTGCCTCCCAAGTGCTGGGACTACAGGCATGAGCCACCATGCATGGCAAGTTTTATATTGATTTCCAGAATGTGACAAAACTATAATTTCCCTTGAAGGCCTATGAACTTATTTATGTACAGATGACTGAACTGGCAAACAGTGGTCTGGTGAGAAGTGATGTGTCCAAACACCAGCATTCAAGACATCCCCTTATCAGAATGCATAAGCAGGACTTCAGGTAGGAACTGTGACAAAGGCCTCCGTGTTAATAGTCATCAGAAAATGGATGGTTTGGGTGTCCACCAAAACTAAAATTAGAAAGAAAGAAAAAAGAATGTGTTATATAAATAAATGAATTCTTCCTTGTTTCAAAAAAGGATAAGTCCAATGGTTGGTCTGTACCAAAGGGTAGTTCAAGGCATATGGGTCACTGCTAGCAAGCTCACTTTCTTTTTATTAATTCATCAATCCAAATGCAGCATTTAGGTACTTAACATGCTAAATTTTTAAATGGAAAAGCTCTCTTTTCTTTTCTTTTCTTTTTAGACAGGGTCTCATATATCCCAGGCTGGCCTTAAATGTACTATGTAGCTGAAAATGATCTTGGACTTCTGATACTCCTGCCTCTACCTGGTTCCACCCAGGGAACAGAACTCTAAAGAGAATGCCCAAAGTCCCCCATCCCTAAATCTCCTAACTCATATTGGCCTCTGTCTTCTGCATGTTGGAGTAACTTTTCAACACATTACATTCCTGCTCAGAAAATAAATTGAATTTATGTATTACTTACTAATCTGCAGAATTATATCTTAGATTTCTGTTCAGTCCATCTAGGACTTTCATGTCCTCTGAAGTCAACTGGAAATCAAACACCTATCACAGAAACAGAGAATTTTTTTTTACTTTTATATTGTGTATCGACAAGGTAGACAATCCAAGCTAGTTGAGCAAAGTGGTACAGAGGTAATATTTAAACTACAATGCCAACTGGGAAAAAAGAAAATCCATGCTTTCATGCCACAGATTGGAATCACACAACTAAAAACCAAGGAGATCTTACAAGAAATAGGAGAAGAAAGGAGCTGTTATTACCCAAGCATTATAGGGTTATAGGCTTAGACAACTAGAAAGAAATCAAGACGCATGGACAGGAGCTACTATATGCCATTAGGAAACAGAAGAACAAAACTGTATCATTTAACTTAGAAATTTTCGTATACTAATGAAGTTCTCATCAAAGATTATAGGAACTGGCTTCAAAAGATCTTATCTAAATTAAGGATAGTTTAAACATCAAAATGATCATAAGTACTAACACATTCAAGCTAATGTTTTATAAATCTGTAGTGATACTCTAAACTGTGTGAGGAGGAGGATAAAGAAATCAGTAACATAACAGCTGACTAAGCAACTAAAGGTAAAATGTACTGTTTTTTTTAATTGTCCTGTATATTTGTAAATCCTTTGTATTTGTAACCCAAATACAAAAGGAAAAGTTATTTTTTTAAAAATCAAAATTCGCAGTCTTCTCCATATAAATCTAATAAAACATATACAAATGTTACAATGGAGAAAGTTTTAAAATTCCACCTAAGTTGGAAATTCATGTCACAATCATGGATTATGAGCAACGAGTGCTGTCAAACGTAGTTCTCTCCAAAATAATCAACAGTTCCAATGTAATATGAAGCAAACTTTCAAAAATATATGCTTTGGTGGAGTTGAAGGACGATTTTAAGTTTTATATATAAACTAATAACAGTCACAAAGGGTAAAAAAACTTTTAAATTTTATTTATGTTTGTGTGTGTATGTGCCCGTGTGCATAGGTCCTTATGGGTGCCCATAGATTCTAGAAAAGCATCAGATTCCTTGGAGCTGGGATTACAGGCATTTGTGAGCCACGTAATGTGGGTGCTGGGATTTGAACTCTGGTCCTCATGACTGAGCAGCAAGTGCTCCTAACCACTGAGTCATCTCTCCAGCCCCGTAAGATCTTTTTAAGTGAAATTTATACATCTGAAGAAAAAGAAGAATCTATAAAATTTTTTCAGTTGGATGAATTAGGAAGAAATTTTACCATTCCACACAGCAATGCTAACTACCAACATGATGAAGATAGTACAAAACGAGAAAATCAATCAACTGGGGGTGGCAGTGAGTTGAATGGCTCAGTGGGTAGAGATGCTTGCCACCTGTAATGCAGGCCTGACGACCTAAGTTCAATCCCCAGAGTCCATGGAAAGGGGGAAGGTAAGAAAAGACTTGGAGAGATGGCTCAGCAGTTAAAAGCACTTGCTTTGGTTCCCAGCATCTACATGGCAGCTCACAGTCACCTGCATGCACATGGTACACACACAAACACTCAAGTATATGCACATAAAATAAACTAAATAAATAATTTTTTTAAATTAAGAAAAGACTCCACAAAGCTGTACTCAGACCTCCACACGCACACTGTGGCATGCATGCCCCTCCCCAACATCATATACACGTATGCATACCCAATAAAAATAATAAATAAAATATTAAAATTAAAAGAAAATAAGTCAATTATATGTGGAAGAAATGTTCTTATGAGCACTTAATATATGATAAAATGGCAATAAAGACAGGTAGGCATATATCAAATTTAATAAATGTTGGTATGAATTTTGGTTATCTATTAAAAATTGTACATTACTTGTGGCTCCTTATTACTGACAAAAACAATTGCAGTGGAATAAAAGATCAAATTAGAAGGAAGAGTTGTTACGCTTGTAAAAGTTAATGTACTCAAATACTATCCTATTCCTAAGACATGAAATAATAGATGATCATTCAACTGCAGAGGAAAGCTATGCCTACTTCTACTACCTTGAGAATAGGAACTTTGTTCAAGAGAGTATACAACAAAGAGAATGTAAACACGGGTAAAATTTGGGAGGCAATCCATCAACAATATATCTGAATCTTTCAAATCAATTTCAGGAGGTAGGCCCACATACCAACTGCTAGAACATCAGAGCAATGAACTGGGGATGTTTGGAGAGTGAAAAGACAACCTCTGAAGATGACCATTCAAAAACACAGAAGTTGCAATAGCAAAAAGAAGGAAGGAAACTTTATAAAGCAGAACAGATGCATGGTGGTTCAAGCCTAATCCTAGCACTCAGGAGACAGAGTCATTAGGGTTGCTGGGAGTTTGAGGCCAGCCCAGGATATATGGTGAGTTCCAAGTCAGCCTGGGCTACAGTGTAAGACTCTGTCTCCAAACAAATACACACATACAGAGAGAGAGAGAGAGAGAGAGAGAGAGAGAGAACACACACACACACACATGCTCATGCACACACAAAGAAAGAAAGAGAGAGAGAGAGAGAAAGAAAGAAAGAAAGAGAAACATAAAAACTAAGAAAGGAAAAAGAAGAAGAATACAGTAAAAAGACTCCATTCCAGAGTGTTCAGCCTTAAGCAGGGAATGCCCTGCTTTCTTTCTCCTTTGAAACATTTTTTACATGACAGCTTCTACAGGGTTCAGGTTGACCTGGGCCCGGGAGTCTCCCTGCCTAAGCCTCCCTGGTGCTGAGAGTATTTTAAGTTGTCTGATTGCTTTTCTTCACTTCTTTCTCCCATCACTCTGCCTTTAGCTGAAGCTGCATTGTCCCCTCCCACCTTCTTACATTTCCTCTTCTTTCTCTACAGCTCGACAACTAATCACGACTCTTACTCTTCTTTGCCGATTCTCTTTCCGTTCCTATCTGTGGTAACTAATATTGTAGTAAAAACTATGCTATCCCTCTTCCTTTCTTCCCCAAACATCATTGGAATTGAGGTTAATTGCTCGTGTTTGGCTAATGTCCTTTTTAAAATATTCTTTATTATTTTTATTTTTTATGTGTATGAGTTGTATTGCCTGCATGTAGGTAAGTGCACCTGTGTCGTGCAATGCCCGCAGAGGACAGAAGAGGCCATCGGGTCCCCTGGAACTGGAGTCATGGACAGATGTTAGCTGCCATGTGGGTGCTGGGAATTGAACCCAGGTCTTCTGCAAGAACAACCTGTGTTCTTAACTGCCGAGCCATCTCTTCAGCCCCTATTGTTGTCTTTTTATGGTGAACCTATCCATTAATTGTGGGTGCTTCCGCACTTAGTATTATAGTCTCAGAGTATTGCTAAGCACTGTATCCAGGGTCATGGGGATGTTGGCAGAAGCTTTAGCTACCAAACTATACCCTAAGTCCAGCATGGAGGAACATCTCAACCTACTACAATCTAATCCCACTTGAATATTGAAAAGACTTCAACTGAAAGAATACAGGTGCCCCCTCAGTCCAACCAATGACAAATTTCCAGCCGCACAAGTCTCATCACAGAAACACAAGAAACATTAAGAATGAAGGCACCATGACACCTCCAAAGATCAGCAATTTCACAGTAAGACATTCCAATGAGCATGAAGTAGATGCAATTCCACATAATTCAAAAGAATGATTATAAATGCTCAAAACCATGAAAAAGGACATAAACTTCTGAGTGAACCCAAAGACAATGGAAACAAAGAACTGAAGGAAATAAAAAGGTACAAGATATGAGAGAGACATTCAACAAAGTGGTACAAGGACCGAATAGAGTCAAATTGAAACTTTGGGAATTAGTATCTCAATAATTCAAATTAAAAACTAAATACAGAGCAAGCAAGATGGCTTAGTGGGTAAAGACTTGCAGACAAGCCTTGTAGGAATGACATTTGATGTACAGACATAATCCAAACTAATGACTTTCACTGAACTTTGCAACCAAAAAGTTACTGTTTATAATGTAAATAAGCTCGCTGAACCATCTGCTTCCTTCCTTTCTTTTTTTTCTTTCTTTCTTTCTTTCTTTCTTTCTTTCTTTCTTTCTTTCTTTCTTTCTTTCTTTCTTTCTTTCTTTCTTTTTGAGACAGGGTCTCCTTGAGACAGGGTCTCCTGTAGCCCCAGTTGTCCTGGAACTCACTATGTAGACCAGGCTGGCCTTGAACTCACAGAGATCCACCTGCCTCTGCCTCCTGAGTGCTGTGATTAAAGGTGTGCACCACCACGCCCAGCACCATCTGCTTCTTTTGTGATCTGGGCACCTGACCTTAATCCCTCAGAACCCCATCTTGCCCTCTACCCAAGATAGTGAATGGAAGTGGGTGTGCTTGATTAACATATCAAAGCACTGAAAGCAACATATTTTTCTCACTGAAAACAGTGGGAAAATTGACAAGTCTGTTTGTAACGGTATGTGTGATATTCTAGGCCAAGAGATCAAAGTTCAGAATTCTCTGACAAGATCAGGATGGGTCTTAAGTGATACTTCTGCAATTTATATTGAAGATAGTTTCAATTTTTAAAAAGATAACTGGAGCCATGAGTGACAATATAAAAAATGGCAGACTTATGGCTTGGGTGGATGGAGGAATAGCTAATCCTTGACCTCAGGTAAGAATAGGATAAAGATTATATTCTCCTCAATTACGTGTATGGAAATTATTAGCTGCCCTTAAGCCTGTGGATATTTTAAATGGCACTTATGCTGGTACTAAGTCTTCTTCTGCATTATTTTACTAGGGGAATAATAGGTGTTATCATGGATACATATGAAACATTTTTTGACTGGCAAGCCCTTTCAAAAACAATTCTTCAAACTGCTCAATACAATCTGTGGTTCTGGGAATGGGTGGATGAAGGCCAGTCCACTGCCGCTCATAATCAAAGGCAGCAATCTCCTATGAATATCACTTATAATTGTGATTATATCACTTATTAGTGATTACATATTCACTAATAATTGGCAAGGAGGTTTTGGAACACTGGCTCAACAACGTGTCAGCTGGTACATGGTTTATGAACAGACCAGTCAGTCAAG